CCTCGTCCTCCTCGTCCTCGTCGTCCTCCTCGTCCTTACACCCACAACCACCATCAGCATCATCAGCGGTAGCGATCCGATCCGTTTCCGAGCCAATTTCGAATTCGCGACTCGATCGAGCCCATGTCTCCCTCCCAGGGCTGGCTTGCGCGCTTGGGCTCGGTCCCTCCCACGGCCCCCAGAAGCCCCGAACCAAGGGTCACTGTTGCCGCCACTCTCGCAAGTAGCCATGGACGGTCAGGCTCGGCTTCAGGGTCTGGTGCATTGCGCGACCCCGCGTCGCCCCCGCGCGCCGGCAGCGGGGCCTCCTATGCTTGAGGGGGGCCAAGCACTCCGCGACCCCCAAAGCTGTCACGGGGGGCCTCTCTTTTCGTTGACCTTCGCTTCGCGGAGCCGCCTGAAGAGCAGCGGTTTCGCCAGCAAGAAGCTGACCCTTGGGCTCGGCTCGAGGCGTTGCCGTCTTTCCGACTCGGCTCCTCAGATCCCTGCCCCAAGGGAGGGTGCGAGCAGGGAGGAGGGAGGGATGGATGCGGGAGTACAGTCGGCCCAGATCAGTAGGCCGACCCTGCCAGCTCGAGGGCTCAAGGGCACCCTTGTGTCCTGTGCCTCGCGACACGTGCCTTCTTACACTCCTGTGGCGATGTGGCCCTCGGAAGGGTCTCGTGTCCTCTCGCGTGCCCTGTCCAAGCAAGGCCGACTGCAGGGGAGCGGGAGGGCCAGTGAGTGGGAGGTTCCGCAGGGAAGCCGGCCCAGCACGAGGAGCAGGGGGGGAGCCTTGCGGCCACATGGGGCGCTCCCCTCCCCCCCCCAGGGCCCCTCCAGCCCCGCCGCTCCCCTCCGGGGCGCGCCCGTCATGTTCCGCCCCCCTCTCTTGTGCTCCCGCGCCCTCCTCCTCCTGCTCCGCCCCCTCCTCCTCTTCCGCGCGCTTCTCTCTTGTCCTGGCATCCGCGGACGACTTGTGATGCGATCACAGAGGTCAGCCACTGTTCTGCCTGCTTGTCGACTTGTCCCTGTGACACTGTGACGGCTTAGACGCTCGAAAGCCAAACCAATCGCAGGGGTGTTGTTGTGCCCTATTGTATGTGTATGTCGCTGTTGCATGTTATGTTTTCTCTTCGTTGTTTGTTCCATCTCTCTTTGTGTCTCTCTCACACGTTCTCACACACTTCCGACGCCAGCAAGCTCTGCGCGGCCTCTTGGTAACGACGTTGGGCCCGCTAAGGCTGACCCAGGGCGAGGTGCTGCCAAGCCGAACTGCGAGTGCCTCGCGGCTGGTGTGCATTAGTCTTTAAGTCATATATCATCTATTGAGATTGGTCTATCGAGGCGCGCAAAGCTGGATGCACAAACCGCGCAATGAAAACACAAGGGGGCTGGCCGAGTGCAGAGGGGGAGAGAAGGAGGGGTGATGGAGGCGCATTAGAGAAAGCAGGAGGGGATGGGGCACAACTATGTAAGTTGCTCTCCAGCCTGCGTGGCCAATACACTACTTTCTAATGTGTGGAGCAGTGTTGATGCACAAGACGTACATACATTAGTATATCCATATATGTATAACACACATCTATATATGTTAGCCCGTGTGGACTCCAAACAGTGATGTCTTGCATTATATGCGGCGCAGTCTAGGTGGTGCAATCAGTTGGGTGCCATCTAGTTGGGTCAACACACGTGGAGCAATCTACGCAGTGCCATACAACGCAACACAATGCAACTCAATGCGAATGAATCCAAGGCACTAGAGAGCAATGCGAGGCAACGCAACGCCACGCAATGCAATGCAAACCATAACAGGCTGCGGGAAGCAACGCGATGCAAGGCAAAGCAAAGCCATGCAAATCAATACAACGCAATGCAAAGCAAAGCAACGAAATGCACAGCAATGCGAAGCAATCCGACGCAGTGCAAAACGATGCAAAGCGATGTAAGCCAATGCAAACGGGACACAAGGCAAGGCACATCAATACCAAGTAGTGCACATCAGTGCACATCCGTGCAAAGCGCTGCACCGATGCAAAGCAGCGCAAAGCAATGCCACGTGAAGCCAAACAGTGCAGAGACATGCAAAGCGATGCGAAGCTATGCGAAGCAGTTCGAAGCAGTGCACAGCGGGCGGCGACGATTCGACGGGCGGCGCTGAGGCGGCGACGGCGGCCACACGGCGGGCAGAGCGGTTCGCAGGCCCAGGCGATGGGCGGCGAGGAGGCGGCGAGGGCGGCCATGTGGCGCCCAGGGCGGCCCGCAGGCTCAGGTCCTTGGACAAGATAAACAACCCGAACACACACACACACGCACACATACATGTATATATGTGTGAACGTAGATGTATAAACCTATACATATATACATATATATACAGACATCTCTAAACTATACTACGCAGATACAATGATGTCATGTCTGTATCTTTCCTTTTACATATATATATATACACATATGCATCGGTGTACATGTCTACATACATGAACATGTACGTAAATATTGATACATGCATCTATATGTATGTATATATATGCATATTCCGAACATTCAGAGTATGTGCGCATGTGTATAAACATATAGATCGACGGGCGCCCCATCCCCCCCATCCCGCGCTATCTCACCCTTGTTTTTGTCTCTCTTGACTTCCGTCGTCCCCTCCCCCCTCTCCGCCGCTCCTCTTACATCCCATCCTGCCCGTGCTGATGTTCACCTCTGTGGCCCCGCGGGCCGTGCGGGCCCTGAGTCTCTCGGTGGAGGCCAGGCGCTGATGCCAAAGCCATGCCCCCCGACCTCCCACGCAGTCGGCGACCGGGCTCCTCGGCAGCCGTCTCGGCCCAAGAGACCCGGACTAAAATGCCGGGCGATACGATCCAGTAACGAACTATCAGATTCCCAGCAACCTTACGTGTCAGCGGGGGTCGCCGGCTGTCCCTGCCAGGCCGAGCCAGGGCCCAGGACTGGTGTCCGCAGGCCCCAGAGTCCAGTCGAGCATGTCCCTCTACTGGTGGAAGATACAAAAATAGAGATCCGACGCCGCGAAAAGATCGTGACGCTGTGAGAGTACGGAGGTCCCAGAGCCGTCGGCACCATCCTTCCGCTCGACATTGCGGGCACGATCGGTCCGTGAGGGTCCTGGGGCCCGAGGCGGAGCGAGACCGCCCGTGCTGCTGATCTTGGTCACGACACCCGGATCCTCGTGCTCCAGTGAGTGGTTTGAAGGAGGAACATTTAGTTCTCAGAAAGGGTTGGGTCGTTCCTCAGGCTTGCATGCGTTATTCATCGCTCCCTATGCGCGGTGCTTTATGTATCGTTCCTTGTGCGCTTTTCCTTGGAAAAATCGGAGGTGGATAGACCTCCTACCCTGACACGTCGATTAAGGAATCTGCCCTTTTCGGTTCGCGAGAGGGCGTCGCGGCCGTCGTTTTTGCGGGTTCAGGTCCGTTGG